CTCATGCTGGCCCTGTGGAGCTCTCATCTTGTCTCTCCCCTGCCCTCTCCTCATACCTCTAATGAATGTAAAACCTCACTTTAAAAAGTATTGCAGATTTGAGGCCAGTTGGCAGCTCTGACCATGTCTCAGAATAAAAAATGCTGAGGTGTAGCTTAGTGGTAGAGCCCTTGCTTAGCATACCAGGCCCTTGGGTCTTCAATCCACAGCACAGCCTCTCCCCAAAACAAGAAATTGTGAAAGGAAAGTAATAATTATTGCAGAACTATTGCACTAAGATTTTCAAATGTTTCCCTAACTATGGAAAGAATTCAGAGTTCTTTAAAACTATGGAGATGACCATGTATAACCTGCCAGATGATTTTTTTGTTTATTTTCTTGTATACTTTAGATCACACTGAATATTCAGCAGATTAATTTCTTTGGTATTGAGTTTTAATCCTATTTGAATAATTCTTAGTACTTCTAGCTATTAAACTGTCCATATTAGGAATATTGATTGGGATGGGAGATTTTAATTTTTCAACTTTTTTTTATAGTGGAAGTGTTTGTCCCTCCTTGTGTATCAACTCCAGAATTTATCCATGCTGCTATGAGGCCAGACGTCATTACGGAAACTGTAGTGGAGGTGTCCACGGAAGAGCCAGAGCCCATGGCTACCTCTCCTAGTCCCGTGTCCCCAGAGAGCCACGAGCCAGTGAAAAAGAAAAAAGGTATAGCATATTTATGGATGTCAGAGAAAGTGGATTTTTTTCCTGATACCTTTTTATGACCAACATTAACTAATTTCAAAGAGAAAAGAAACTGAAATCTTAAGGTGTTGCAACACATTCATACTGTTTATTTTATTTTTGTGGTGCTGGGGAAGGAAGCCAGAGCTAGAAAAGTGCTCTACCATTGAACCACAAGTCCAGCCAGGAGGGATTTTGTACTTAAACCTTGAAGGTACTTGCCTGAAAGTAAGTTTTTAACAGTGCTGGAAAAAAGGAAAATGAGGTATCTCCTGCACTTTTGTCTTACCGTTTTTCTAATTTATGAGCCTTTTAAATACTTGGCTATGTTACCAAGGTTATTTATTTTCCCATTTTTTATCGTCTTATCCTTCTTGCCTCTCTCTCCTGTCCTAAAATACTAAGAATGCATAAACTCCGCAGTGGGCAGAGCATTCCCCTTTCTGCTTTTTGATCCCAGCGGTGAAGCAGAGGAGCCGAGCACAGCGCCACCACCAGGAGAATATGTGCAGTACACTGCATTGTTTTCTGGTGTAGATGGACAGTGAAATCATCTATCTGTAGTACTTTCTTCCCTGGCTCTTTTTTATGTTTTGTGTGTGTTTATTTTGAACCTGCAACTGGGCTACAAAGTAGACCATAGTAGGTACATTGAAATTAAATGCAGTTCAATTTTCTTTCTTTCTTTTTTTTCTTTTTCTTTTTTTTCATGCTAGGGTACAAACCTGGGGTGTCATTTATGCAAGGCAAGTGCTCTACTCCTGAGCTACACTCTCAACCATCTCTTTGCATTTTAGAGGGGGGAAGAAATGAAATGCAAGAACATAAGAGAAAACTGTTAGAAATGATGATATTTTCTTTTATTTACTAAATGCTTGACTTCATTGCCATGTGCTTAGTGCTCTGAGAGAAATAAGACCACGACAAAGTACCGTGAGTTGGCGTGTAGCTCAGCGTAATGCTTGCTTACCTTGCTAGAGACCCCAGGATCAGTGGCCACCCCCAGAGAGTGCCTCTCCCTCTATAACACATTTGGCGAGAAAGGCCTGAATGAGAGATTAGGTGGCAGAAGTAGTTCCTGTTGTATATTTTAAGAAACAAAAGGCACATACACAAATGGTCTTATTAATCACTACACACTGAATCTTTGGCTAGTGGTATCTAACCAAAAACAAAAAGAAAAAAGATGGAAAAACCATAAAAAAAAGGATCCATTTGAGAACCAGGATGTGATACATCATAAATCAGAAAATATTTGCATATCTATAGTCTTAGCACTTCGGAGGCTGAGGAAAGAGGATTGTTAAAAGTTTGAGGGCACCCACGGCTACAGAGTTGAGACCTGGTCCAACTTGGACCACATAGGGATACTTTGTCGCTCAAAAAAAACAAAACAAAACAAAAAAGGCATTGATGAATTACCATTTAAAAATAAGTATAACAAGGAAACCTTATTTTTGGGTTTTTTGGGTTTTTTAAAAATTTATTTAGTACATGGTCTCACTACACAGATCTGACTCTAGTGATCCTCCTGTTTTCAGCCTCTCAAGAGCTGGGATTACAGGCACATGCTGACATGTCCAGTCTTAGTTACCATTTCAGCATGCCCAGGAGCGTGGCCAGCTTGGCACGCTGGGATTAAAGCCTTAGCAGGTGCTTTAATCTGCTGAGCTATGTGGTCAGCCATCCTATCTTGTTTTGAGTCAGGGTCTTTCTATGTAGTTTAAACTGGTTTTGAATTCAGTATGTAGCATAGGCTAGCCTTGAACTTAGGGTGATCCTCCTGCCTGAGCCAAGTTCTATGATTTCATGTGTGCACTAGTATGCCCAACTAGGTTAATTTTTAATAGAACTTTTATTTCCAGAGCCTTATACTAATACGTATTGTAATAGAGGAGGTAGCATGCAGTGTCTTACACATTAATTTGACTGTTGACTATAGAGCCTATTTTCCTACCAAGAAATGCACTATTAATTTCTCCTAGCACGTTGTTTAGGAATGCTACCAAGAAAATAAATTGACCCTTTTTGAGCTTGTTGCTGTTCTCAAACTCCTGGGTTCTAGCAGCTGAACTGTAGACCATACCACCATACACAGCTGAACCTTTGTTTTTTAAGCATTGGGCTTTTATGCTTGAATTTAGAGATAGAGATGATAAGTTTTTGTTTTTAAGAGGAAAAACAAATTTCAAAAGGTAATAGGAGGGTAACAATGGTTAATATGTTGCATTTTGTTTTTCATGTACTTTAGGAAAGGGTCTACAGGGTGTTTAGAGTTTCACTACATAAATCCAACTCGTAGTGATTCTCCTTTTTACAGCCTCTGAAGAGTTGGGATTACAGGTGCACCACCATGCCCAGTCTCAATTGCTGTCTCAGCACACACCCGGGGTGGGGATGGGGCCTGCCCAGGGATTGAACCCCCAGCCCCATGCCTGCTTGCATGTACTTTAATATGCTGAGCTATTTGCCTGGCCTGCATATTGTTATCTTTAAAAATTACTCAGAGTACAAGATATCAGCATTTAATTGTTTAAACCATATTAGCACAATTTTTTTTTTTTTTTTTTTTTTTTTTTTTTTTTTTGGTGGAACCGGGGATTGAACTCAAGCCCTTGCACTTGCCAGGCAAGCACTTACTCTACTGAGCTATCTCCCGGCCATTATTGTATATTTTGGATCTTATTTACTCCTCCTTACAAGTATAGTCTAGAGTTGCATCCATTTACTTTTTCTTTTTCTTTTTTTTTTCCGGAACCGGGGATTGAACTCAGACCCTTGTGCTTGCCAGGGAAGCGCTTATTCCACTGAGCCATCTCCCCGGCCCCAGCTTTACTTCTTATACTTCATTTTTATACTTTTCTGCTGGATGGTTAAGACCAAGGTAAAGCAGGACCTGTGCAACAAGAGTTGTAGCTTTGGGGTCTGATAAGATCAGTGAAATCCCCTCAGGATTTATCCCGAGATCCTGTACCTCAGGTTGTCGATCCTCTTTGTATATTCTTGATAGTCATCCCTTGTCTGAGGAATAGTGGGCAAACGTTTTTCCCACATTGTGAGTTGTGGCTTTACTGTTGGTTTCCCAGCTGTGCAAGAGCTTTATAATGAAATCACAGTTGTCGATGTTCTGTGATAGTTTCTGTGCAGTCAGGGTTTTATTCATAAAGTCTCTGACTATACTAAAGTCTTCAACAATTTCACCTATTGTCTTTCAGCAGATTTATCGTTTTTGCTTTAATATTTAGATTTCTGATCCATTTTGAATTTAGTGCATGGTGAAAGATATGGGTCCAGTGTTAATCTCCTGCATGTGGAGAGCCATTTTGTCCAGTACCTTTTTTTTTGGGGGGGGGGGCAGAACTGGGGATTGAACTCAGGCCTTTGCGCTTGCCAGGGAATCGCTTATTCCACTGAGCCATCTCCTTGGCCCATCCAGTACTATTTATTAAAGAGGCTTTCTTTCAAGGAGTGTGTTTGGCACCTTTGTGAAAGATAAGGTGGCTAAGGGCCAGCCAAATAGCTCAGCAGACTAAAGCGCCTGCTTAGGCAGAGTGCAGCAGCCGGGGTTCAATCCCCAGTGTGACATGCTGGCGCCACCCGCAGGGCACAAACATGCTGGCCCCGCCTCCAGGGCTGCTAGGATGGCAATTGAGACTGGGCTTCATGGTGCGCGCCTGTAATCCCAGAGCTTGGGAGACTGAAAACAGGAAAATCACTAGGAGTCCAATCTATATAGTGAGACCCTGTAGGTCCCTGCACCCTGTAGATCCTGTACTAAAAAAAAAGTTGAAAGAAATGAAGAGATAAGGTAGGGCTATGTGCATCTTGTAATCTACTCCGTTGATCTTTGGGTCTGTTTTGTTGGTTATATTTTTTTTTGGCAGTAACCCAGTTTTTGTCATAGCAGCTTTACAGTATTAATTTCAGGTCAGGGATTGTGATGCTTGCCTGCCTTGCCTTTGTTGCCCAAGATAGCCTTTGCTATTCTAGGTCTTTTCTCAGTTCCAAGTGAATTTTAGAATTGTTTTCTCTAATTCTGTGAGATATGCTGTTGAAATTTGATCAGAATTGCATTAAATCTGAATAACAGTTTTAGAGTATGGTCATTTTACTATATTGGGTTCTTCCTACTCAACAGCAAGGGATATCTTTCTGAGAAGATAGTTTTATTACTGACGGTTTCTTTTACATGAAAAGTAAATTCAGAAATTGAGCTCCATTCTACCAAGAACAGTGAACTGGATATTATAACTTCTGCTAAAGTAGACTACTTAGTAGTTAGAATTACCTGAAGTGAAACCCTAGCCTAGAGCCTGGCTCTGCATTTTGTCATATAAATGAAGACATTGAATCTAGGCGTGCAGGCTCTGTGTTGCTGAGCTATACACCCAGCCCCTAGGTGTTTATATAATTTAAAT